CATTCAGTGTTGAAGGAAGAATAGAAAGTATATCTATAAGTGTTACGTTCAAAGAGACATGAACTTTGGTCTAAAACTATGAATATAACAGGAGAATTGTTTTCAGGATTCAGAAAGGACATCTCCAGAAAATTATGTAAGAACTGTATCTATTGTATCACATCTGATCCATAATAACACATGAAAACAAAATGATGCTTAATTAGATCTAAGTTTCTTGCCTGATGTTTAATAACAACTACAAGAATTGTGTCTTTCCAGACTCCTCTCAGCTGACCAGAGCCTGAAGTAAGACCCACAGACTCAAGTACAGTTCCTTGTTGAACCACCAGTAACTGCATATTCTGCAATTGAGATCGTTTATTGTATTTTAATTTCTCATAGCAAGAATACTATTTTAGAGAAAGTGATCTGGTCTGTAGCTCAGTGTGGGTTGACTGCAGTCATGAATAGTTTTTCAATGATTGACTTTCATTGTCACAAATAACTCATCTTTTCTTGTTGAATTTACTTACAGTAATTACTGACACAGCTAATGGACAGCTCAAAATAATGTTCACAGTACTGTACCAATATTTCCACATGCATTGCTTTGTATAGCCCTTTGACTGCTTAGTATTTCTTAATTACCTGACTCCTGTTTGTTGAAAGTTACATGCAAATTTTTCAGAATGTCAAATTTGTTGCTGATCATATAATATTATAAAGATAAAAAATGTGCAAATTACGAACCAGGATATCTAGGGGACAGTTTGGAATATCCCAGGTACAATAGTTAAGGGATAAATACTTGCCACGTTTTTTCTTTTTAGGAAATGGACTATAAATACAGAGAATCATAATGTGAGTTTTCTTCCAGAAGATTACAGAGGTTTGTCAGTAATGACAGCTCAGACCCCCACGTGTATCAGTGTCAAGGGCATTGTGCCAGAACAGTGTATGAACAAAATTACTGATTACAGATATCTGTTACTAATGTTCATTTGCCAAAATGTAACTGTTTGTTTCTGTGTAGAGCAGCATCAGCATTACACCATAAATCAAACCATTTACCTTGTTTGACCAAGTATCTCTGATTATGCAAGGTGCTTTTGATGTCATGTTGATGGAAATTATTAAATTATCAAACACAAAGAAAAGGTGGTGGGCATGTTAAGCATGCAAAGTTTACAGAAAGAAAGAATTTTAGTCAAGGGGAGAGAGTGTTCAAAGTTGAAAATTCTGAATTTTCTTTAATTTATAAAATCTCTAGCTACTCTTTTCTTAAAATGAACTCTACTGATGTTGCCTATTTCTTATATCACACACTTTTAATAAGTTTTCAAATCTTATTATTATATGTTGTGATTAATTTTAAATATGTATCTTCGCTGGAATTTATAAACAATGTAAATGACTGGGCCCTTTAACCCTTTATGAAAATTATAGCACTGCAAGATACAGACACTGAATCATTGTTACGGAGGATCTAAATGAATGTGACATCACATGATTTCTGTTATTACCAATGTGGTGTCTTTCAAGACTTGTAAATACCAGATAGATCGCTTGGTGTCTCATACTGTTTATGGTTGTATAGGGTCAAGGCAGTGGTGGATGCTGATCACTTGAGCATTCTAAATTATATGTTCTCATAGTAACCACCAGGTAGACAGAATTGAAGAAAATTGGGAAGGAAGTTCTTGTAGTATAGACATAACAGATAAAAAAAAACAAGTTCAGATCAATTATGATTAATTATTTTACCATGAAAATTATTATCATGTTTGAAATTTTAATTAAAATAATGTGATTAAGTGTGTGCAGTACTCGACCATGTTTACATTGCACTGTCAATCATTACCTTGACCAGGAGTCTCATTTGGTTCTCTTTACTGTCCACCTGATGCCAACAGTTGCCATCCCAACGAGCATACTTCTCCAGTGGCCACATACTTGAGTACAACAAATATATTATTTTAGTAACAACAGCAATAATGACTACTTTATTTTTCACAGCACTGAAGAGAGGAATAGTGAGAATAATAAAAAGCAGTGATTAAAACTAATTCCATCAAACAGGGCCTTTCTTCAGAAGCTAACAGTTGCTAAGCTAGTCTTTTATGGCACACATTAAGGATCTTCTTTTATATATGTAGACACACACAAAAACTTGTTGATGGATCTTGTCCACATCCTCACATCCTACCTACTTAAGTTTAGTTTTAATATTGCTATCCCTTTTACACACATACATCTGCCAAGTGTGTGTCCTCCCTTCAGGTTTCCTGGCAAATTTTGTATGTTGGTAATTTGCATTTATCATCTGTTTAAAAACAATGGTTAGTCCAGAAATTATTTTTATTTATCTTTGGAATACTTTTTCTATAGTCAGTCAGAATACTTGTGTCAGTTGTTTCAATGACATGAAAGAACTGACATAGGTAGTGGGAGTTACAGTCACCGGCCTGCAACCCCATCCAGTGCAAGCTGCAAACCCCCCTCCATCAAGTAGGTAAACTCCTCCCTGTTTTGGAAGTGAGCAGTTTATTTCATAATTACTCACTGCTGTAGTTATTGTCATTAAAACACACAGTTATGTATTAAATAGTTAATGAATGCAGAAATATCTGTCTTGATTCTTTCATTGACTCATCTGTAGATGAATGACTAACTATGGGTTGAGTTTAAGAGATTATTTATTCAACAATAATATTTAAACTGTCTAAATTATGTAGAATCAAAGGTTTGGATTATCAGTGAGTAGAGGAAGTAAGTGAGAGAAAGTAGGTGTGTTATGTTTTTAAGCTAAGCACATCAGTATTCTTGTAACAGAAGTGATTTGAAAGAAATTCTTGAAAAATCTCAAGAAGCTGTTTCTCAGTAAATCTCCCAACAGAACTGAACAAGATAGCATTGTTGGGAACTGCTCTCATATGTAGACAATGTGACAGCCACATGAAGACTTCCAAATGTGAACCTGAAGAACCAAATGGATGACTTAACAATAAATATTTCACATCTGAAATGTTATTTCCATACATTGGTGAAGATACATAATAAATGCTTACTTGTTATTAATTAATTGGTAAGACATATCACATACTTAGGTAGTAAATTACTCTGCGTGTAAGTTTCCAGTCCCAAATTAAATTCGGTACATTCATAGAAAGCGCCAAGAACCAGAGATACCATGGAATTTGGATCCAAATTGTGTATGAGACACCTCTTGTTTCTATTTACATCCAATAGAGTGCAGTCAATGTTCCGCTAAGTATGTTATTAGGAACAGACATCAGATCGCCATGGTACGTGATTACGAAGATTGCCGTTATCTGGGTTTCAGCGCTGAGCACACTGCATATGAGGAAGGCCATCATATATGTTTAAGTGGAGCTAGGGTCATACAAACTGAACGCAATATCATCTACAGAAAATACATGGAGTCTGCACAAATGGCTTCACTAGCCATTCCCATCAGCCAGTCAAGACTTGACACATCTCGTATTTGGATTCCCATTATCTCAGAAGAGGTCAAATTGTTGCAACATAGTTCAGTTTGATGTATGAAGCTTTCCCATCCTTGAGAGTCGTTGTCTTTTTGAGCCTTTGGCTCTTCGATTGTTAGACTATGTATTTTCTATTTGAATTATACCCTGGCATTTGCCTTCCAACTGAGGAAAGTCAGGAAAACCCTCAGAGTAATGGCGCTACGTTGCTCATAAATAACGTTGGAGTTACCCACCTAGTTAATCTTTGATGGTAGGTTTACCAACGTTCCATCATCAGGGTGATCATCATATTCCATTAGTCTACACGGCACTACAACTCAGAAGACGGCATCATCGTAGAAAGCTTGTGACACCATGTATTTTGGAGTGTTTGGTAAGATTTGATTCTCTCACAGCAGGAGACGAAAATGGCGTTTTTCTTGGTTGTTGCGCCGTGTAGTATACCGACGTTTTGACATTCGCATTGCTTGTTCCCAAAAGCTGAAGAATTGCAAGGATACAATTTAGTCTGATGGAAAAGACGAAATGGTACTAGGTAACGGGAGAGGTCGGTGAAATGGCTTGTTGGCAAATTAAATGTAGCATAAAAAGTAACTGATGTTGATCAAATGGATATGGCTAACGTGTACTGAAACGCTTAATCACAATGCAAATTACCCTGACTAACACAGTATATGCTGCCATCTGTTGGCAGAATATATAATTGAGAGAACGTTGCTGACATTCACATTAAGAAGGTTTGATGTCCTTGGTAGTGTGTTGTTAATGTTGTAGGCCTATGTATTTATGTTCTGTGACATATGTTTCTTCAGCGCCAAAACGAACGGTGGTTACGTGGGATATGAATTTTATTTGTCATTAGAATTTGTGAGGTGTGATGGTTATAGGTATGGATAGTGATATTGATAATGATTTGGTAACCTTATTATTACAAAGTAAAAGCAAGATATGGGAAGATAAAAAGCGCCTAGGACTACTTAGAGAGAAACATGTAAGTCGCATTGCTTAGTTATGATATTTATAGGATAATGAACTCCATGGGCAAAGTTCTTGAGAAGTTGATGGTATACACAGGTGGCAAATTCCCGCATATTATGGTTCTGTACTGTGTCCACAAGAGTCTGCTACCCGTCGCTATACTGAGCCAGATGAATTCAGTCAGCATCAAACACTGTGTAATGCCCTCTTTTATGTATGCTTAAGTATTCTGTGTGGTCTGTCTTTTTAGACTTTATAACCGACATTTGGTACACATTTTCCATCTCATTGTGGTGTTCTAAAACCTCGCACATATATTATTTGATAATCCACTTAATACTTGGTGAATAATATTAATTATGCAGCTCCTTTTTAAGAAATTTTCTTCTTCCTCCTGTCATTTTATCACTCTTAAGTACAAAAATTTATCCAAACACTATTCCCAAATATCACAAGCCATGCTCTTGTCTCTCTTTGCCTTTGGTGCAGTTATTGTTGAACATGGAGAGTGTTTTCACCAAGACATTGCTGTTATGGAAAAATGGTACGAAGGGAAGTGGAGTGTTAACATGCTGTCAGATTACTGCTGGAGTATTATCAGGGATGTGCCTGAGAGTAATTACAAATGGAAGTCATCGGCTAAAAAATTTTGAAACAAGTACATAACTATTATATTGTAATATTGGATTCATATGTGAATAAAAATAATGTTTTTTTTAATTATGTATTTCTTTTCAACTGAGGGTGATAGAAATATTCTGAAGATATATCTGTAAATAACATAAGAAACAGTCCAGGAAGACATGTCATACATAAGGAAACAATTTAAAAAAAGAAAAAATTGTATATCAGTGTTATAGGCATTTATCTACAAAATCTTCACTTGTTTCATTAAAATATTTGTTGTTGTGATTGCCTTTATGCATAGATAATATATGTGTGTGCGTGTGCACGTGTATGTTTTCTAGTGGTCATGGTGGTAGAGAGAGGGGAGGCTACAGGTGCTTGTACTGAAAAGGCTTACCAACAAGAACCTTTGTCTGAAACATGGAAGTTTACTCCAGGGCATAAATTATCTAAAGAACACTTTATGGTCATTTTGTGGAAATGTGTCTCTAAATCAAAACTGAACCTTGTAGTGACTGGAAAAATCAAGAAACCATTATAGGGAGATTTTTGAAAATTGGTTCTACAACTGCTTTGTTCCAGAAGTTTTGTCTTTCCTGAAAGAGAGAGGATCATCACAGGCAGTGTTGCAGCTAGACGATGCCCCTTTTCATGTAAGTGAGAGCATACTGACTTCTGATGATGGCCTCATCAATGTAAAGTTTTTGCCCACATTATCACAGCTCTTATATAGCATATGGACCGAAGAGTGATTGTATCCATGAAATTATGCTGCCATGCTGACCTCAAAACTTCTGCTGATGAAAACAAGAGCATAATAGCATTATGCTAAAATGACAGTGGCATATCTCAAGCATGGTTATCTATGAACCCTGTAATGCTATATCATGCCTCACCAAAGAACAATGCTGTTGTAGGATTTGCTGATGATGGAAGCAGCAGGGACCTCTGAAATGTCGGTAAACTTCTACCAGACTACAGGGCGCAAAACACAGAAGACAGCCATCTTCAACAGTGCTGATGTAAACAGAGGGGTGGAGAATTTGCCTGTAGCCATGCTGTGTGAATGGTAGAGATAAACTGGCATGTGCTTACCATTTATAAAGTGCACATAAGTTTTGGCAACAGTGTGTTACATCATCATCAGCTGTTAATGTGTATTTTGTTCAGGATGCTTAAAATTAATTTATAGGAGGGATAAATAAATTCATAAAAAGTGTAGCAAACATTATACAATGGTCTGTTTTATTCCTTGACCAGTAAAAAACAGAAATGATTAACAATGGTACTGCTACTTGTAGAGGCACACCTTTTTGATATATGTATGTACCAGTCTCTTTCCAGTCCTGTGATTGGTGAAAGGTGACTGCTCCTCTTATTTATTTCCATCAATATCATTCTTCAGTGAGACAAGGAATAGTTTGAGCTTGGAGGAAATTTCTTCCAGACCTAGAAGATGATTTGCAAGGTTTTTATAATGAAGTCCAAATTTCTTCATATGGAATATGCTACAAGAAATTTAAAAACTGATGATGAAGATAACGTTGAAGAATGACTAAAAGGTGATGCATGGGTCAGATGGTTTGAATACAGTAACATTACAGCCACCAAGAGAATTTGTACTGCTGTAAGGAGGAGACTTAAGCAGTTTACAAAAGCAAGTGACCATTAAAACTGTTTCTCAAAACAATGTCATTTGTGTAAAATTATTTATATGAATGAACCAACAAATCATCTATGTTTCTAGAGTGCATCTTCTCCTGTTCATTAGCCTGAATAATAATGAGTTTTCTGTACTGTAATCTGCTGGTTAGCCTCTGCATAAACATTTAAATTTGCCATAACCTTTCTTTATCATGTTATTGTATGGATGACATAAAAGAAAGCAGTTGGACATATATTGTCAGCATTTTCACACCACTTCTTAAAAATTATTACTGAAAATATGTTAGTTAATATTAATGGCTTTTGCAGTTTTCTGCCTCCCTGTCTTGTGATTTGGAGCTATTATTAAGAAGCAAGTTGGTTGTCCATTGTACCATCTTATTATAGACATCTTTGATGGTTTATTTTTAAAAGAAGCAAAATCTGTTAGACTCGTTGTTAAAACAATTTGTATTGATGTACAGCTGTAAAATAACATGTACTTAGTCTTGACAATGTACTTAATGCTTTAAAACCCAGTGGTAACTGTACATACCACCTGCTTTAACAATCTGTAACTTAGTATTTTACCCACAGAGTGTATGTATGGGTTTTATATTATTTTTAGAATAAACAGCTGTTATTTCCTTAAACAGCACTGACCAATTGATTTTTGTAATGGAGAAGTGTTTTCTTTGAGAACTGAATTTTTAGTTATTGTGTAATTTTTGGGATGAGCTTTGGCTTCAGTTGGTTAATATTTATTGATTCAACTTCATGAAAAATAAAGGCTTTGTGTGATATATTTTAGATAGATGCTTAATTGTCTGGGTATTTATAAATTGTTTTCAGAATTAATGGGCCTTCACCTCCAAGCTCCTACACAGGTTCATTGATTGATGCTAAAAACAGGAATAACTTCACTTTGTACAGGGTGCGGCAAAGGAAACGCATGTTCTTCAAATAACAATAACTCAGTTGATTTTCAAGTTAAATTTTTTTTAATTACACAGAAAGAAAGGTTTTACAATGCAGTTTTTGTTGACATTTTTGAATTACTTCCGAAAAATAACGTCCGTCAAGTGACGCCCTTCCGTCTGTACGCACTCTTGCAGCCTCTCCTCGAAATTCTGCATTGTTCTTCCCAACATTTCTTCCCTCACAGTAGCGATTTCCTGGCGAATGGAATCTTTTGGGTCCTGGATGTTGCGTGGTTTGTTTCTGTAGACCTTTGATTTGAGGTAACCCCACAAAAAATAGTCACATACGGACAGGTCAGGGGAGCGAGGCGGCCAAGGGATATCACCGAAACGGGAGATGACGTGTTGGGGAAACATGCCACGAACCACCAGCATCGATGCTCTCGCCGTGTGTGCCGTGGCACCATCCTGTTGGAACCACATTTGCCGCATATTGGCCCTTCGTCTGCGCAGTCCTGGAAGCAGGAAATTGTTGAGCATTTCGACATAGCGCGCCTCGGGCTTCTGAGAACTTATATAATTTTCAATGACAACCGATGCTCGCGGGTCCACGGTGCCATGGCTACTGAAACTGCATCATCTAAGCTGTATACTAGCAAGGGGCGGAAATCCCCCACCCTCCTCCTTGCCTAGTACTAGCCATTCGAAAAACATGCCGCATCCTGTATTTGTTTAATATGCAATATAACAATGGGTTTGCAGTAAGTTCCATGGTTCATGTTCATGGTAAGGAACAGTGTTATACAGACCGTCATCACACACAGCTGCATTCAATCTTCACGGGAAGTTTGCTTACCAGTAAAGCACCTTTCTCTTGGTATTGATTTTATAATGAGTACTGACATGGAACTTCCATGTGTGTGGCAATGAAGAAGTTGAATTATTGATTTCCCCATATTCACCTGACCTTACTCAGAAGTTGTAAGCCTGAGTATACAGTAAGCTGTTTGCTTTACTGGTTGTACATACACACAAAATCACTGAACTGAAATGTATAATTTCTGTTTTTATTTTAGAATTCTGAGGAACTGTTAGGAACTTCACAGCAGAGTCCAGTACATGTGAAATATGGCAGTAAAGAGCAATGCAATTTGTGTGACCATGTAGAGCAAAGGGAGGAGGAACTGCAAATTTCATGCATTCCAGGTTTTGGGCAGCAGAAGGAACATAAAGTAAGTGCTTGTTCACTGTGTAATTTCCCAGTGCTAGGGTGAAGAGTGAGTTCTGTTTATATTTGTCTTGACTAAATCTGTAATCTGTCCAGCTTATTTCTGTAATATGAATATTTTCTAAAAGAAGTTTCTTGCAACATTTCTCAAGTGGAATCTGTTGTATCCTCATAATCTTATTACATATATTGTCTGTATGATTTTTCTTAATAGTATAGTCAGTTGCAATTCCTGGAAAGTGTTAGCATTGTCATTTGTGATTTTGTCTTATAACTTAGCAGCCATTGACTTTTTTTGATATTCTTTAGTCCTAGGTATGTATGAAATTTGGTTATGCTGCAGCAAATTTCAGTTCCTGGATTTTGAGAGTTTGAATTGTTTTATATGCAGCCTTTTTTAGACTGTTTCCTCATACTGGTATAGTTTTATGATCTGCATAATGGATGAATTCACATGATGTAAAAGTTGTAATTATTAATCCTCAGTTGAATTCAGTTTACTGGTAATTACTTGTGATGCCATTTTAGTTGTTCTGCATTTGTTCCTAGGACTGACAATAAATTCACCTTCTTTGTTAGAAGATAAATTGACATTTCAATTTTTGGAACAGTCTGAGATGGTTAAAATTGTCATCTGCCATTCCAAGGATTAAAATTCTTTCTCAGAACTTACAGTTGGTTATTTACTCACTTGGTGATGAAAATTTTACAGTTACATTTTTTGGAATAGTCTTAGCTGTCAAAGAATTGTCAGTTATACCATATGTGGTTAATATCATTGTGACAGATGATCCTCTTTCATGTTTACAGAAGCATTCTCAAAGTGCTGCTACTCTGCCAAATGACTTGCAAAATTTTCAGAAGGATGAGTTTATTTCCAAACTCACTATTAAGAAAGGACGCACTGGTCTAGGAGAGAAACAGAGCTCAGAGGTAATTCAGAGATCAACATTTAAGCATTCAGCAAGGAGAATAAGAGTTGGAAGCTAGAATGGTGTATTATTACTAATTTAGTGCTACTGGCAGCTTAAGAAACAGCTTTCCTCTTATGAATTGGTTCCATAAATTGTCAGAATGGCAAACATAGATATATTGAATTCATCAAAAAACAATTTATGAACCAGTAACAGTGTACTAAATAAATCAGTGACAAGGAAATACAAAGTTAAGATATTGAGAGCATTGTGAAAAAATGCTATTATTTAGGACTACCAGGTTCACTAATGCACATGACAGACATATTCACAACTTTAAAATTTTCATTCAGATATAGCTACATCTCAGGCAGCTCCAAAGGTAGAGATGAAAATAATACAGAGAAACCCATAATTCATCTCTTTATACAAAACAAAATGATAATGGTACATTGTACTTATGTTTATTTGATTCATAAACTGTGAACATTTGGAATATAAAATTGTTTGCTGTCCATAGTTGTAAACAAACGAAGTGACTAATTCCATGGTAACAGGTGTTCGTGGAAAAAAAATTATGCTTACTGAGATGTTCAAAATATTCTTTGCATTTATGCAATCCAGAGATTCATTATCATGTTCACAAAAGTCATGACTGAACTTGATGCTGAGCATGTTGAATTCAGTCTGTACTACATTTACACCATATTTCTCACCAAACATCACAGCTGAGTTGTTAGCACTTTTGCTTTGTATGACAGTACCTTAAATTAGACCATGACTACTTCCTTCCATATGCTTTCTAAATTATTATTCATTTATTATCTAATGCTATATAATTTGAGCTACTGACACTGTCATTGAATAAGCCACAAATAAAAATTATTTTCTATAAAACAGATGTTTAAGTGATACATTTCCATTGTCTTATAGACAGCAGCAATGGTTCGTTTTGGGGAATACTCTCCTCAAAACCCTGGCCTTCTATCACCTGGCAAAACTTTGTTGGGATTGGGAGAATATGAAGAAAAACGTCGGAAAATATTGGAACGCAAGAAGCGCGAATATCTAGAGCAGATGGCTCAAGCCCGTCACTCAGTAAAAGATGCGGTGTCTGGGAGATTTTCAGACCTAAGCCAGCAGCAAGCAGCGTCAAAGTCCAGATTCAGATCATACATGAACATGAGAAGTGCAGCAGGCACACAGACAGATTTACAGGTACTTTATAATATATCATTTAATTCATTATAAAGATGTGGTTTTTTGCATTCTTTACTTGAATTGCCTGAAATGGATATACACAGTGCCACTAGCAGACCTAAAACCCTGGAAAATATGTGAATTATGAGTAGAGATTCTAGTTCCATCTCAGTTTCTGGTCAGAATCTGATTGACCTCTGCTAAATCACTCACAGAACTCTCTTCTACTGACCATAACACTGTAGTTACGCTGTTGTTGAAATAAACGTGATTGAGTGTCTGATACAGAAGACATGTCAAAGTTGTTTATAGTGGGGAAAGAAATGTTTTTAAAAGTTATATTGTTCTATAATGAGGAAACAAATAGTTGTGCGTGGTAAAACTGTCATTTGTAAGCTCCAACGTGAGTGTTATCAAGCATCTCAGTTTTTCCTAAAAATAATGCCACTTACTGGAGGAAAGTGGGGGGAAAATTACTTGATCTGTGAAAATGAACACAGCACTGAGATCCTTCCTGAGGTTTCACAACTTTTGGTCATAATAGGAGTACAGTTTCAACTTCTGTTAGATTATACACTTTGAGATTCCATGGTGCATTTCAAAGTTTACATAAAAATGACTAATGATTTTTTACTAGTCAAGTGTATGGATCAGAGATAACATGAGTAGTTGTAGTACCAAAAGGAAATATAACACTTATTTATTCTGGGTTTATTTAATGGTGCCTTTAATTAGTTGGTTTATATTGTTTTGAATGATGATTAATGAATAATGAATTGGAAAGAATATATAAGGAAGTGTTCATTCCCCTATTTAAGGTACTCTCCTGACATTTACTTGGAGCAACTGAGAATAAGCATGAAAATTTCAATCAGGATAGCCTATTTCTGGGCTGAAATTTGAACTTGACACTTCCCTGGCACAAAGCGGGGGCTCCAGTCACTTGTCAGCAACATTTTATTGCAGTGGAAGGACATTAGTGGTGGAACTCTATGCAAATAAAAGAACAAAAAGAAAAGACAAAGAAATTACTGAAGCATATAGAGTTTCATAGTCAACATACCGAAAATATTAGGATGACAGTGAAAATAAAGGAACACAAGGTACACTCAAATCTAAAACTTCTTGACGATGGTGAAGAGTCAATTGAATAAAAATTTTCTTGGATATTATCCATCGTCTAGTAAATATAAAACGTAAAACAACGTTTCGGAGATAGGATTCTACGAGGGTCGCTCATTAAGTAATGCCCCACATTTTTTTCCTCAGAACATATTTATTCAAGATGGCTCAAATTTAGTGACAATATAAATCAATGTTTCCTTTACACATACTATTTTTCCACATAGTCCCCATCAACTTGTACGGTTTTACGCCAGCGTGGAACAAGGGCATGCATGCCTTGCCGGTACCAGCTCTTGTCCTGTCCCCGTAGCCATGTCCTCACTGCTTGAATCACGCTCTCGTCATCTTCAAATCTTGTTCCGCGGATAGCATCTTTAAGGGGCCCAAGGAAGTGAATCCACGGAGTAAAGCAGTTTATCAGAGGGCAAATTGTTTGGGCTGTTTTGCTAATAGTATTCCTATTGAAGGTCCTGCTTTTCAGAACAGCAACATTGCAGTGAAAGTGAGAGTTAAGTTCTAACATTAAAGTGGCTGGCTGCTAAAGTGCAGGCAGCAACATAATGCAATGTCACTGACAATGTTTTATGCTTAGTTAGAAGGTTGTAACATCTGTCGGAATTATGTTTGACTAAAGATCTTACATGGTGAGTGCTGTTCTGTAGATGATGGAGCTGCTGAATATTGGTATGAAAATGTGCACCAACACTGGAACATCTCATGTCATAGAACATTTTCGTTGTGCATGGAACTGCATTGTTTTAATGCATTCATCCTAATCAAACACTGTGAAATAAAGAGAATACATGAAATGGAGGAAAGAAGTGTGAGGACAAGTTGAGTGAGCTGCAGTGCACAGAGGAGTGGATGTCACATCCTCTTGTGGATTGATTCAAATACCATTTTGCATTATTTACAGTTATTTGTGTAGCTGTAAAGTTAGCCTTAATACATATTGCAAACATATTTTACCAGTGGCTGTTGTCCTTGCTGCTTGCCCAGTGTGAAGCACCTCAGCTGATGCACATGTCAGTTTTATACAGAGTATACACAAAAGAATGGTGCGATTTAAAAAGTTAATAAAAAATTTATTTCTCACCTTACATGGGCACAACATACACCGACAGCGGCGGCAACTGTCCAAGTTTCTCATGCGTTAATTACAATCCTTCAATGTGTGCACCCTGGGTCACACGACACACATCCACACGGTAATCAAACTCATCCAATCCAGCGCTATGGAAAAACATGATTGAGAAGCACTTGTACATTCCTGTGAAAATGGGGGGGAGCTCCGTCCAGTTGTAGAATGTAATCGTCATAATTGGTATTCAGTTGGGCTAACAACCAGCTTTCCAACATGTCCAAAAATGAGTCTTTTGTGTATACCCTGTACTTACCCCTCAGTGCAGCATCTGTATTAGGGTATCACCCATTGTGTGAAATGTGCATATTGGAAGTGCTTAATCCATTATTATTTGCAGTGAGAAATGTTGCAGTACCTTGAGTGGCATAGTTTCATAATGGTATAACATGATTAGTTATGGTAAGCTGTGTCTAGGTCAGGCTCGATTTGTGGTTTTAATTTGGAGTAGATTGACTTTTTATGATAAAAAATTGCATTTGTCCACATTTTAGAACTCTTATTACTAGTACAGTGCAATGCTGACGTTGCTACTTCTCAGAATATGCCTCTGGTAAAAATCTTGTAATGTTTATGTGTTTGATTATATGAAAATGGCTGTCTTCTGGGTTGTATACAATGCAGTCTGATAGAAGTTTACTTACATTCAGTGGTCCTTGCTGTCTCCATCATCAGGGCACGTAGCAAGGACCTCTGTAACACCGGTAAACTTCTACCAGAAGACACAGCACTACATTCCAGAAGACATCCATCTTTGTACTCACTGCCCTGAGAACTTTAAATCATGTTTAATTATACATTTGTAAGTTTTTGTCCCAGTTAATCAGCTTGTAATGCATGTATTTGTTATGTGTCTTTCCAGATCACAAGTTACATTCAGGACAATGAATACTCTTCCCTGGCAGTACGTCATGGTAGTGTCTCTCCTGTGGTTGCAGCCACTCAGACACCTGATGGGGAAATTTCTGTGCTTCCTTCTCTGTCAGCACACCCTCAGATTATTTCCATTGCTACACAAACACCTGGTGGTAATGTGAAGTCTCCCAAGTTAGAAATTGTTCCTACCTCAGATACCTCTGCAGTCAAAGGAGTGATTGCACTTCCTCAGCATGCATCGTACCTGCCTCTTAATCCAAGGGAAAGGAAGATGGTGGAATTCAGACAGAGTTACAGCCCAAGTTTTGTGCAGGGATGTTCACCATGTCCTGCAGGCTTTGATATGGTTGGTGTCTCCCTTACAGTACTAGGACAAGGCACTTAGGCAAATGCATAAAGTACATGAAATGAACTCGTGCTCAGAGACCGTTTGCCTGGCCACGTTTCATTTCTGAACTTATTTGTGGATTTCTATGAAGTCCTCAGGGTAATTTACTTGTGGTTCATATCAGTCACTTCAGCATTGAAGATTGAAATGGTACATTCCTCCAAGATTTTGGTATCTTCCTACAAACGGCGTTACAAACCCAGAGGACTAACGTTGACGTCTTCTCCACTGTGAGAACCTTGAATCTCACAGTTGGCTGTAGCAATTGCTTTAGATGAAGCTGAAATTTAACCTTATCTATTCCTTAAATAATGGCTATTCATAAATATCTGATGCGTGTTACTACATAAAGACTACATTTACCTCTGATAATTTTATTTTAAACAAGTTTTAATATTATTGGTTTTTATTAATTTCTGACTGTGTGGACACTGTGTGTGTGTATATATATGGATTTCTTAAATTGTTATTAACAGTATCAGTGATGGTCTTCCAACACTGGAATTGTTTAGTTTACTGCTATGCAGTTTTGTATTGTCATTTTTACAATTCATGTAATTTTTGTTAAGACTGTTTTTGTTTAAACTGCATACAGCATGGTGACTTCAAAGTCAGTGATTACTTTGTCAGCATTAGTCAGTGAATTCTTGTATCTAAAAATGTGAAAGTTGGGTTGGTGATCAAGTATGAATATACTTTCAGATTTTGTATAACATACTGTATGTTGAAAATTTCAAAATTTTTATGTTATGTCTGACACATTTCATACTTTGGAACCTCATAATAGCATACATTTTGTACACAGGTGGCTTACTTGTTTTATTATCAGTTTGTAGGTTTTGCTAATCTCTTTCTGCAAGTGGAAACATTTGGTGGATGATGAAATTTGTAAGTTCTTCTTGTCTGACTTTTAAATTAAGGATACTTCATTGCAGACTCTGAATCAGTCACCAGACCTTCGCCAACGGAGAGAGGCTTATCAAGAGGAACTTCGCAGGCAGATTGAAGAAAAACGATACATTGAAGCAGAAGAACAGAAGAGAGCACAAGAGGCAGAAGAAGCAATCGCTCGCAGAGCAGAGTTACAGCGAGAAAGAATGCGACAAGAATATATAGAAGAGGAGGCACACAGAAGAGAGAAACACCTTCAGAGGTAATTTAATTTATTTTGTAGACCATAAAATACAAGAGTTAGAGATTATGTTAACCCCTCCCAAAACACTGGCATTAAAGATATAGCTACCACTTTGCTTGAGGGCTGTGCCCAGCACATCATCCTTTTCCATTTACTGTTAGAGGCTGTCTTATGACAAAGCCTCCTCCAGCCATTTACTGTTTATAGGCTGTCTTATGACAAAGCCTCCTCCATTCTGTATTCGTGTATATAACATCTCTACTCTTATTCTGTATACCTCTTGTCACATGGTCTCTCCACCTATGGGGTCTTTTCAAAAAGCATCGATACCAAATTCATATATCAGGTAAACTGCACCATAAAAGGATGTGGTTTTTATAACATGTCCTAACATATTAATGCATGTTCAGGTTTTTCTTACAGTCTTCTGTTATTTCAGTCATTTGTGATCAGTGTTTAAATTTCAATTTAACAATGTCCCAAAGTACAGAACAATATGAATATGCTACATTTTGTAGGAAAATGGAAAAAATGTATAATAAAACTTCAGCTTTTGAGGATGCTATTACAGAAATATTTGTACTATTCGTAATCTGCTTATTTCTCTCTTGGTCCATGTTTACATTTCTTCACTTATCATGTTTTTGAAACATAACCTATAGGAAAATGGAAAAAATGTATACTAAAACTTCAGCTTTTGGGGATGCTATTACAGAAATATTTGTACTATTCGTAATCTGCTTATTTCTCTCTTGGTCCATGTTTACATTTCTTCACTTATCATGTTTTTGAAACATAACCCTCTTTCTTCTTTCTTTCTTTCTTTCTTTCTTTCTTCTTCTTCTTCTTTTTTTATCTTATATGCGTTGTTGTTGTTTGCCATGAGTTAAAATATTGTTTCCAATGTGCTTGACCACTTGTTATGGAACTGGCTGCATGACCCTTTTTTATATTGTTAATGGTAAAGTGGCTCAGGGAATGAAAACAAAATGGTGTTCTTATATGTGTGCAGGTTACGCCAAGCAGAGGAGTTTCATTGTAGACAAGAAGCATTAAATCTTGAGGCAGAACTTGAGCATGAGGTGGAAGCAAGACAGAAATTGGAAAAGAGGTTTGAGAATCTTGAAGCTGGATTAGGACGAGCATCATATTCTACCCAGAGTCTCGGTGTTTCACTGCCGGTGCCGGCACTGAGGAAGAAATATGCATCTGAAATAGCACCATCAGGTCACAGAAATTTATCTGTCAACCAAGATGTACCTGAAGATGATGTCAAGGGATCTAGCACTAGAAATTCTGATACTGCAAGTAGACTTCAGTGTAACGATACAAATAACATAGCAGAACAAGCTCAGAGACAGTATTTGTTGCATGACAGAAATGCTGACTGTACGCAGTTGAGTGAAAGAAATACCCCACAGATTAATAATATGGAATATCCACTTCATAGTAGTGACACAGAATATCCATTGAATAATTACTCAGCCGGAAAAAAGACAAATGAAGGAATTATTGTTTCTTATCACCGACCACCAACTGAAATTATTAAAGCTGCAGGTTATGGCAACAGTGTTCAAAACTATTGTAATGGTGATGACGATACAGATGCTTTAGAGTTATCAGAGTCTAGAACAAAATGTTTTGAGTTGCCTACAGAAGGTATTCAACATGTTTCATCCTTACAGCCACAGTGTGCTAATAACTGTAAAAACAAACTAGATGATTCGTTACCAATTCCTATTCTTCGTGCACCGTCTCCTGTTATCCCAGCTGTGAGGACAGGGCATGCTACTTATGGCAGTGATGCTATGCGCAAGGTAGAAACCAAATGGCAGGTATGCTGTTATCTTTCTGTTCTACTACTTCTTAGCCTAGTTGCATTATTTTATAAGGAACGATGTACTTGTGGTATCATTATGTCCATGTTTTCATTCATCTAAAACCCCTCCCTCAGTAACTCTTGAACCAAATGATGGATGCCATTGGAGGTCATCCAGTTTTACCGCTTATTAACCCTTTGATGATGGACATTTGAAAGGACGTGTGCTGTTGATCCAGTGTATATAAATGCAGTACTGTAGTAAAACAGTTGTAACATCAAATGAATTCAGAACTTTGCAGTTCAACATGGTGCTGTCAGGTAGCAGAACATCATATTATGGAAAGCTTTGAGATGACAGCGCAGTGCATTTTGGCGCATAAAATACAAAAAAGTAACATTCCATGTGGCAAAGTGAAGCTCTTTTAGAAGTCTAAATTACAAGTTTTATAGTGGAGCATTGACCACTCTTCATATACCAAACTGAAGATCTTTTAAAATTATTCATTATCAGGATTTTTTCCATCGTCTTCAGATAATTTTAAATGCAATCTACCATTGTCAGAACTATTTAGAACTGAAGATCTTTGTTTTGACTACAATTCTGGATTGTCTTACCTCCTAGAAAAGTTTACAAACAAGCTCATAGTTGGAAGAAGCTGGTAAGCTCTTCTTCACTCATGACCATTATTTATATACAGTAAACTCATTATGCAGCTTGCGGATTTCCCATGCCTGACTTTCTTTGCCTAAATACAGACATGTGAACAAGTCTTTTGATGTCTTTCTGTTCTCACTTTGGATGTGGGTTGGTTTTGAGGTTTTTGCAGATGATATGATTGAACAATACTTTTTTATAGCCAGTATTAGTGGTGGGGTGGGGATGTTTGTTCCAATGGTTATAGTGGCGGAGAGAGGGGATGCTACATATGCGCTTAGTCTTTTCCAAATATTAGTGTCTTATAACCAATTCTGCTGCATTATATTGTGCATGTTAGGTGAAAATGATTGTCGGTACTTGTGGGTAATAAATAAGATTGCTCAGAATGGTACAAAGTCTGGCCACTGAAAGTAGTCGTAAACACATTTCATAAACCCTTGAGTATTATACATTGTATCTCTCCACATTTATTAATTTCCTTGTGCAAAGGTACACAGTGTTTTACTAGTTCATAAGAGAAAGTAACATTTTGTTTGAAGCATACTTATTTTCACAGGTAGAAAAGTGTGGATCTTTTGTGTATCACAAATAAGATTGTCTGTTCAGAAGTGATCTAATAAAAGTTTTTCTTTCTCTGTGTACTTAGCAGTTGATACAAATGCAAAATGTATGTTTTTTTGTATTGGATTCTGCACCCAAAATAGTGACCCAGTGTTCTACATTTTCACTGGGACAGGTGTTACATGCAGTGTTTTTGTGTGCACAGTTCATCAGAGTGTTAAAATTTGATGTTGGAAGGCTGTAAGTTGGCTGATTTGACACTTCATATTGTCAGTCAGAGGACTGTAACAGGATGTACGTGCAGCCTGACTGCTATGGAAAATATGGTATTTAAACAGAAATTCCAATGAGTTGCCTAAAATTAACAATATCTGCTTCAGGGTACATCAGTAAGAATGAAAGTTAAATGTAACATTTGAAATTGTCATTCAAACTGGATACTTACATAAAACATTAGGACCATATTTCAGAAAATACTGGGGATTACAAAGAAAATTTTAGGTGCCATAGTTATATAATACAAGGATTTGTTAAGTCCACTAAATAGCAATAAACTGTGTAGATTGTATGAGTAAGTATGTAACTGTGGTGTGTGTACAAACACATAGCTTTTAAACGATGTTTGCTGCGCACAGTAATACAATTACATTATCACTTCTAGGTTCCCGCTGTGGAGAGGAATGTTGTGCGTGCTAAATCAGATTCAAACAACATCCTGACACAACTTGGGGCAGTGCGTCACCAGCTTCAGCTTGAACAAATACGGATGGAACAGCACCTACAGCAACAACTGAAAAACAAGTCATGATATAAAGTGCATGTAGTGATTATGAATTCAAATGTGGTATTTTTAACATGTAATTTATCTCTTACCATCGTGTAGGATTGGGGTGAGTTTAAGATAGAAATAATGTTTATTAATGTGAAACATGTTTTGGGTGCTTTTAGGTTTTGGTTTATACATATTTTTAAAAGATTACACACAACAGAAACTTGTGATAGGAGGGGAGTGCTCACACTGTCTGCATTCCTGTTTCATTTTTCTTATGTCTTTTCATCTCCAGATACTTTCCTTGAAAAAATGGTGCTGTAGGTTCTGAACATTGCTGGTTCTGGCAGCCACATCTACTTCCTAACTTGTTTTCAGTGCCTTATAAGTTCAGTAACATGTGACAGTCTCATCTCTACCAAGCTAGAAATGTATGGGTTATGTGCTGTTTACATGCAAGCTCATGGTTAACATAAAGAATGGTATTCCATAAATAACACCATTTTTGAAAAATATTGATGTGCCCTTTTTATTCCTACACATTCATCTATGAAATATTAAATTAATATGGTACAACTGATATATAAAAGACTTGTTCTTCAGTGTAACCCTTCAAAAATTGGGTGCATATTAAGTCTTGGCAATTACAGTACATAATGTTGGAAAAATGATTTTGTCTTATGATGCAGATCTCAAGGCATGTAGTTAAGTCTTCTTTGATGGTCATTTGTGCCAGTACATAATAAAACTTTTAAATGTTTAGTGAGACTGGACTGTTTGACCATGCCCATTATTACACCCAGGCCAAGCAATATTGAATTTGGTTGTTTTGGTATGGCTGACCACTTGCCTCCATCCACATCTCTGTGTTTCGCTGGTTCTTGGCTAATGAGGACTTTTGTTAAGTGTCATATATGCTTCATGGCATTTATTGTAATTTATCACATCAGTTTCTAACAATAGGGTAACAGCTTCTGTAGTGGAATATTATGCTATACTAACATGGCTTATCACTAAAAAATTTGTCACTTGCCATGAAAATTTAAGATTTGGTCATATGTTTGTGCAACTGTAGTCTGAATGAGATGGTAATATATGCCTTCTTCTTGAAGGTAAGTAAATGGCATGATGTTGCTAATGTTTGGTTTTTCTCACAGTAGGGACATACATGATTTATAGGTTCCAAATTTGGAGTTCCAATCACCTTTTGAAGTGACACAGAATGGGGCAATATACCCTTCCTCATCTCCTTCAGGAAATCTTGAATGTCTTGTTATCTTTTACATGTATAATGTACGTTTCAAGCTGAAAGATGCTGATCAAAATTCAGCACTTACTGTCCTATTTATTGTCCATAAAAGTAATATCAGGACTCATATTGATGTATGTGTCCAAAAAAATTACTCATATCCAAAACTAATTTGTGTGGTGTTAGAACCAAGCTTGTGTTGTGCCAGTTTATTTATTGAAATTATCTAAAATTGGAAGCCTCTAATCAATTCAGTGACAGCATGATTTTCCCATTGCTTTGGTATTTTTGATGTTGGTGTATTTTTTAAGCACAGCCTGGTGGCTTGACAGGCTGTACTAAAAATAGATAATCATTTGAACTTTTAACCAAATTAACAAAATTATGAATGTTTTAATATATAGTTATCATCGAGGAGGAGATCCTTAGTACAGTGATATAGAGGCGAGGAATTTTACCTGATAATGGCCACATTGGTTCAAAACATGTTCAAGTGATGGGAAAAAACTAGTAATTCAGCATAGCACATTGGAATGCTACATTACAGACTTGTAACCTCTATATCTTTAGGAAATAATCAACCAAGCTGAGATCAAATATTTTTCTTTGGCAAGAGTTTCTTTATTGACCAACAGTCTTGTTAAAATATTTTGTTGTGGTTAGTAGAAAATCATTATGGTGCTTTAAAATGTAAGTATTTTTGTAGAGTGATTTTATCAATAATGTGCAATAAATGAACACTGAAGATTTATTCTGGCCTATGTGAAGATGTTAGAAAACCACTCTGCTAGTTGTATGGTCTTAACCCGATGCTGTACCTAACACAGTAGAATAGTATAAAAATGGCTGTCTTTGAAGTTGTAGTACCATGTAGACGGGTAAAAGTTCACCAGCATTTATAGATCTTGCTGCCTTCATCATCAGGTTGATGGTGGAGACAGCCATCTTTATACCCACTACTGTGAGAATCTCAGATCCTATAATAGAACATTGTTCTCAAACTGTTTGTGTTTGCAGAGCACCTGAACTGAACATCAGTGATGTTTGCACACCACCATTAAAAGTGTATTTTTTATGCCATTATTCAAACTAGGAGCAACATTGTTAGCAGAAAATGGGATGTTTTACTACCTTATATCCTGAGGATTCAACAGTTGTTATTATTTCTTCCATTATAATAGGTTTATTTCTTTTCCTGGTACTTCCCTTACATGTATACATTCCATGAATACAGAGTCAGACTGATTATAAGATGTAGCATAAGTCATAAAGTACAATACACACGAGTACATTTTAAAATATTTTATAAGGTGCACACACATGAGGGTTTAGCACAAGAATATTAAAATATTTTACTAAATCCACAGTAATACAACCGACTATAAGTACAAAAAAACCCAAAAGGTTTTTTGACTCTTTAATCTGTTAAATTCATCAATAGAATAAAAGGGGTGAGTATTTAGGTTTTTTTAATACTACTTTAAATGTCTTAGTTTTGAGACCAGGTGGCAGACAAAGATTTTTATGCCAGCATAATATGAAAGTTTAGCAGTTGTTCTTTTAAGATGGTTCTTATTAACACTTTGCATAGTTGAATTTGTCTGAGATGGTTGAATTAACTATTAATCCAGGAAAATTGTCCTCTGAGTTGCAGCACCGTGCAGTCCAGCAGAAACACACCAACGCTCTTGAAACAATGGTGAACCCTATCACCAATACTTCAACTTTCAGAATGTAGCACCATCCTCCTTGTGTAATTTTCCTAGTACAGCTGTTCTGTGTAAAGAATGTACTCCTGGTGTTAACTAGCTCTGAAGGTTTGTGACGAAGGTTTATTGTTAAAACAATTAACTTACTATTCTTTATCAATCTTTTTTTTCAACACGACGTTTCCGAGTCCGGAAAATATCACCGGAGATAGGGAACAGGTCTATCGATTGCGACCAACAGTAGGTTTTTACCAAAGTACGAGACATTCCAGTCTCCCGGACGTGTTTTTAACGAAGAATTAAGATTTTGAATGTAGTCCGGGAAGTTCATTCTTTCCTGGTATTATTTTGATATGTTTTTTAGCCTTTTAATTACAATGTCCATTGCCAAAGTGATTACCAGAAGAACATTTAATAATCCACATTTTCTGAGCTTCCATACTTAAATTTTCGTATTTTAATTTCTTTTTAGACTCTTGTCTCAGTTCCAATTTTGTCTATATTATTTTTAGTTATTATGTTGTATCCCTTAACTTAATTTTACTGTTACATCCACATGTTCATATATCGATTTAGTCTGTGCGAATGCGTTTTCTTTTGTTTCATTGCCAGATGTCTTGCATATTGAGTAATGTAGATGTGTGCAAACTTTACCGTGTGTGATAATGATAATGATAATAATAATTGAAGAGATGGGATAATAATAATAATGAAGGGTTAAGG